ACCCTGTGGGGTACCCATGCTGGAGCAGTCTGTTCCTGAAGGACTGCACCCTGTGGAAGGGACCCAGGCTGGAGCAGTCCGTGAAGAACTGCAGCCCATGGGAAGGATTCACCTTGGAGATGTTCGTGGAGGACTGTCTCCCATGGGAGGCACCCCACGCTGGAGCAGGGGAAGAGTGTGAGGAGTCCTCCCCCTGAGGAGGAAGGAGCAGCAAAGACAACGTGTGATGAACTGACCACAACCCCCATTCCCCATCCCACAACCCCCATTCCCCATCCCCCTGTGCCACCCGGGGGGAGGAGGTACAGAAAATCGCGAGTAAAGTGAAGCCTGGGAAGAAGGAAGAGGTGGGGGGAGGTGTTTTAAGATTTAGTTTTTGTACCCTTATTATCCTACTCTGATTTTTCCCCCTGTGCCACCCGGGGGGAGGAGGTACAGAAAATCGCGAGTAAAGTGAAGCCTGGGAAGAAGGAAGAGGTGGGGGGAGGTGTTTTAAGATTTAGTTTTTGTACCCTTATTATCCTACTCTGATTTTTATTGGTGATAAATTAAACTAATTTCCCCAAGTTGAGTCTGTTTTGTCCGTGACAGTAATTGATGAGTGATCTCTCCCTGTCCTTATCTTGACCCACGAGCCTTTCGTTATATTTTCTCTCCCCTGTCCAGCTGAGGAGGGGAATGATAGAGTGGCTTTACCTGGCATCCAGCCAAGGTCAAACCACCACAGAGCCCTTGAGTTTATCTATAAAAGTGAACTCCAAATATAAGCTCTGAATCTCCACTGATTCATTAATGGTACTTGGGCACCTAGCTCACCTACACGGCAGACAACCTTTCTTGTAGGTGGCTTGGATGGCATTCAGTTCCCCAGTCACATGCAAAAGTGCCCTTTCAGATGCCCAATGTGTCCTGTTGAGCTTCCAGCTTTCCATGAAGAAAGCTCAAGTTTACTGGGATCCTGTGCCACATACGCCAGACATACATGGGTATCTTAGATCTTCTAGGGCATCTCTGATAGTACTGAACATCTACTTTTAAGCGAATAAATGAAACTTAGGTCTCCAGTGACTGTAATGGGAACTAATACACCACACCTATAGGAAGCTCCTTTATTCAGTTGCATTAAATCAGCTGTTTGAATGCAAAGTCTATGGCTGAATTCCTGAAGTTTGTAAACTCTGCAGTCCACACCCTATTTTGCAGACTCTCAATCCCACCAACCCCTTTTAAGTTTTCAAATATCAAAATGTCATAAGCCCAGTTGCATTCAGAAAACCAAATATACACTATATATGCCAGTCTGCCACATTTCATTTGGGATAATCCGAAGTGAGGATTTGTAGGCTCTAAGAAAAGTGATAAGCATTAAGAGTAATTGAATAGGCATTCAAGAAAGAAAGAAAACAAGAACAGTTGGGAGACAAAGAGGCAGGGTAGAAAACTGCATACCATGTGGACTGATTTAATTCTTGCCTTCAACCATGGCTACCTCTAAAGCAAAGCAATTTCAAAGATATTGTACGGGAAAAAAGAGCATTATATTTTGCATATAAAAATCCTTCCTTTTGCCAGATGGAGGTGAGATGAGAATGCCAGTGTTGCTGTTTTGATAAAATTGCATCAATTTTTAAACTTACCATGATGTTAGCTGACAGCTCTATGCAGAATTCTTTTTCTTCATTTGGGCCTAAGGTGCCACTGGCTGGGGAGACAGCGGTGGAGCAGAAAGCTGCCTGACTTCCAATGAGCTGCCAAACAGAAAGGACAGACATGCTGTTAACTCTCTTAATTCATTAACACTGATTCTTTCAGATTTTCTCTTCAGATCAAAGAGAACTATAAAAACAGAGTTATTCTAAGGTTTAGGACAGTTTCAGGTAGCAACACATACAGTTTGTTGAGATGAGGCTTGCTTTACAATTCTCACATGGTTGATAAGATCCTTATGTTACATTTATTCCAAATGACTTCAGGTGCCCAACTGAGGCATCTAGGCTGGGAGCAGAGTCATTGTTGTCCCTTTCACAGTCACAAGCCTTTCCAGGGTTAAGTTAACCTATCTGATATTGGAGCAGGATCCTACAGGTGCCATATCTCTCTCCACTGACTGCAGAGATGGCCTACAGAGACAATCCTGGTGTTGGCACCTTCCCTAATTGACTAAATGCACATGGCATGAATCCAGGGGTTCAATTTGGTTGCTCACATGTGAACATCAGATACCATGTAAAATGCTGTTGATATCCCTCCTAGGCTCCAGCTGTTCCAAAACACTTTCCCATAGGTCCTATATCATCCACACGCTCAGTTAGGATGTCTTGGGCACCTAAGGACATCTTGGATGGCACTGAATGCTTTTATGTAGGTAACCGAGATGAACCCTGGATGTCAGAGTAGATCTGAATGACCAAGGCACTGACAGTAGGATTCAGCTTACAGGCTAATTAACCTAATTGTATGCATAGTGGGTGTCAAGAGTACCATTGTAGCCAACAGACATCCAGTTAGTATGTGCTAGAGAGCATTCTGCAGACCAAAGTAGGTGTCCGTTTTAGGGAGAGCTGAATACTTCTCTGGACTCTATTGACTGTACAGACGGGGTAGGATTCAGTTTCCTAAACACAGGCACATAGGGTAGCCAAGCCATATAAGCGTGGCCTGTGACAGGACGTACAAGAGACCACACTTCTTGAGTGATGCTTGGAGATGAGGAAGAACACTCTACAGCACCCACAACGACTCTAGACATATATATTCTAGTGACTGACTTCCTGCTCAGATTTCCATTGACTGAAAAGAGAGTTCAGACCATAGCTTACATACTGACATTAAGTTTAGGGGTCCTAATCTGTGGGCTGAATCCCACCCAGAATGTAAAATTTAAGAAAAATTTAGAAACAATTCAAAAGCACCATTGTTTCTTTGCTCTACTGAATTAAATGCAAACCCTAAACTGCCATGGTACTTTGTTTAATACTCTGGTAGATTATATCCTATTTCCCCTCATATCTCTGCCCACCCATTCTCCCAGGGGTGATCCACAGACAGTAAGAGCATATTAACATCAACTGGTAGTTAATCTTTTCAAGGCTGGTCTCAAGTTGAAGTCTTGCTCATAAGCCAGAAAAGCAGGAATCACTATTCAAAGGATACAGCAGAAAAGCTTTTAAGAGTAGTTTGTATTTTGATAGAAATTACAATTTCCATCCCTGCTGTATTCTTCATCCATTAGAAGCGCACTTACCTTTCCCCACAAATATTTTGCTGGCAGCAGTGTCTGGTTAAAAATTTTGCTGGTTGCTTTGGCAGGAACTCCAGTATAAATTTCAGTGAATACTAGATGACTAGATATCAGGCAGGCTTGAGGGGTCTGAACTTCAACAAAAACAGGAAGATGACTGGAAATAAACACACAGATGGTCTATTGTTATTGTTAATGAAATGTGCTAGACATACAACTGCATGCTGGAAAGAATGATGATTATGTTTATTTAGCAATATTAGTGATTGGATAGTTCATTGATAGGTTACACAACCCCACTCTGAGTTCCTGCTACATATTTTTGTTTTAGGAGGTAAAACTACCTGAAGTGAAAATCGCATGTAAATCTCAGGAAAAACCAAAGCAGAATGCCACTTTTCCCCAGTTACCTTCCTTCTCCATTTTCTACCTCCAATTCTAATACTGTCTGGAGACGCTGGCACAGCAATGATGTGAACTGAACTGACACACTGCATGTACCCAAAGGAGGTATTTCTCCAGCAGACGGTTGAATGGTAAAGGGAGATACCTACGAGAGGAGAGAGGAAACAGAAATTTCTTTGACGCCTGCAAAGCAAGTGTAAAATGCTGAAGCCACAGAATCTGATTAGGACTTGCTTGTGTCTAGTTTTTCCTTAGACACATCCTTTCTCTCTGCCCCTGGAGTCCCACCTGGGTTAATTTCAGTAAGCACAGTGCTAGCTTTGTGAAAACCTGGCTAGACAAGGAGGCAGGAATTTGCTTCTATGGGGACAGCTAATAAAAAGGCAATGACCTAGGAGAAAGGTAGTCAAGAGCCAAGGGCATAACAGGGATGCCTGTGCTTGGAGTGAGGGGGAATGTGAAGGAGAAGCAGACAGCAGCACTAGCAGTGTCTCCTCCCAAGTGGAGGGGCTGAGCAGCAGCTATCCAAGGTGCCACAAGTTGGGGAGATTCTTGGACAGAAGGTCGAGAAAGGAGGGCTGGAGGAATAGAAATAGAAAGAGCACCAGTGAGGGGTGGGGGCTGGAGAGGTTCAGGAAAGGAAAGGGGTAGCTCTTATGCAGGAGGAATGGAGCACTTGATCTATGATCTTCACTGGGATATGAATGGGGTTTGGGATGCCAAATTCAAGAGATTAAGTCTAAAATCTCTCTGGGGTTCTGGGAATTGTTGGGAATGGCAGGGGACAAAGGAATAATAGTGAGAAGTAAGGGCTTGAGGACTGTGAGGACAGGGTCTAATCAGGCACTTCTGATTATAATTGTTCTGGGGGAAAAGGGATAGACACCCCCCCCACACACACCCACC